ATTTCAAACATAGTTTAACCTAAATTCTTTTTTCAAACATATAATAATATAACTTGCCTAATGATTTTATTAACAAGAGGCGTGATTAGTATATACGAATAATTTAGGATAAAATTGAAATATTCAAAAAGTTTGGGGACCAATTTAGGATGAAGATCGTAGCTTGGGGATGAAAATGAAATGATCAAAAGTTTAAGGACTAATTTAGAATAATAATCATAGTTTAAGGATGAAATTGAAATATTTAAAAGTTTAGGAACTAATTTGAAATGAGGGTCATAGATTAGAGACATATGATGCAATTAACTCATTAATAATTCACAATTTGATTTGAAAATTTTGAAAACCAATTTATTAAGTTATTTTAGTATTTTTATACATTTTAACTCAATTATCGGGTTAAAATTGTGTCAATGTTCGATTCAGTTCAAGTTTGGATAAATTAAATTCGGGTTATTTTCGGTTCGATTGCTTTCGATTTCGTTTCAGGTTAATTTCAATTCAGGTTACTTCCGGTTTGGCTAAAATTCAAGTCGGTTTCGGTTCGATTCAATTTTTTCGAGTTTCGAGTCAAATTTGGATCATCATGTTTGGGTCTATTTTGGATCTCGATTTGGTTAATCGAGTTCGGGTCAAATTTGTCAAATCTAGATAAACATAATATCTAGACATGTTTAATAACTAATCAATAAATTAAACAATACATAACAAAAATCTTAATAACACATACAAAGACACACGTGAATTCAGATACATCACCGTGACGTCTTCAACATTTATTTAACTCCAAATTTAACAAAAAATATTAAATAAAATTAAAACAGTTGTAGTACGATAAAACACACACCTAGCCATAACTAATTTAGAAATCAATGTTTCGTTCGATCATCACTTCGTCTTGCTGTCAATTGATACTCATACAAATATTATCAGACTTTTTCTTGCTTCAGACGTACACGGTTGGTAAACAGGTTTAAATTGAACGAAGGTAATATCAGATATGAAAATACGAATTGACTTGGTGCAGGAATTTGGAGAAAGTTGGGAATCATAAACAGAATAGCGGCAGCAGAAACTTTCGAAATAAAATTGACGAATTAAAGTTTGGGTTGAGAGAAAATATGGCGGAAGAATTGAAATACAATTTATAAATTTTTTGAAATTATTTTTATTAAAGATAAAATATAAGATAAATAAAATGAAAAATTAATTAGAAAAGCTTTGGATCAGAGTTTCGGTAAAATTGAAATTCAATTTTGTTCATAGGTTAACACAAGAAATGATTCCAAAGTCTATATAGTTTATGAAATTGCCTCTAAAAGTTTTAAGGTTTTCTAAAAACATCTCCAAAACTGATAATTATTCAATTTAATTTCAAAATTTTGAATTATCAAAATAAAAATATTAACCTTGATTTTGGAGCGTGACAACTCTCTCATCCTTATTGAAAATTCATCCTCAAAATTTTTCACTAATCGAAAAAAAGATTTACATCACTTACCTAACTAACAAGATTTTATCTAAACATAGACAAAAATATAATAGCTAGAGTTAAAATCAACATCGAAATCTTGGAAGATGTCAAAATAATTTCAAACACTTGTGGCATAAAAACTAATTAAAAATCTTCTTTTTTTTCAAAATTTCAAATCAGAGTTACAAACTATTTTTATTTATCAGTTCTAAAACTTATTAATCTAGTGAGCTCCACATTCCGAGGTTAATAAACCAATAGCTCTGATGTCACTAAATGTAACTCTTAAATCCAACCTAGATGTTACGGTTGAATCTAGGAGTTCACATTGATCATCAAAGTGATCTAGAAAATCAATTCAAAATTTTTAACAGATATAAAAATCAATTTTCATACAATTTATACAGTTTAATCTTTTAATCAAAAAATACTTTAACAAAGTAGAATTTAAAATCGAGACTCCAATTCTGAAGTTGTCGATTTGATCTTAACACCATGACATATTTAAAAGGAAGAAATAAAGTGTATGAGCTATAAAACTTAGTGTAGTCAAAATGTGCGGATAAATATAATATTTATAAAATGAAACAAGCATGCACAACTAATTCGAAAATACAGACAAACCAAAATGCAGACACGAGCTAATAAGCTCTTAACTACCCAACCATCCGCTAGGCTTCACGGAAGGAGTTCCTCAGAACCCGTTATCAATCGCACGCTAAATAGAATGCGATGAATCACATAAACAAGAGGGGTTAATGGTAAAATTCAGAAAAATAGTTTGTGAGAATCGTATAACAGTTACACCACCGTAAATAGTAAACATTTAAAATTTTGATAAAATGCCTTGAAAATTCAACTTTAAAACGAGAATGATCGAGTATGTTTTTGAAAATGTTTGGCTAAGTTGAAAAACATTTAAAATAAAATTTTAAATTAATTGGACTCTGAATTATTTTTGATAAATTCAATCAAGTCCAAAAATTAGTTTTACAAATTATTTGTTATATCAAAATATTAATTCAACAAACTATATTTGTTTTTTTTTAATTTTTAATATTTAGGGTACAAGTGGTTGTAAGGACAAAATGGACAGAGAATCCTACCACCGTCATTCTTGGTGGACAATCTGTAATTTTTTATGTAAATCTCAATTGAGTCTTAAGTATACCCTAACTCTGAACTTGGGAAAGCCATCATTGACCTAAACTTTTGTAATCCTAATAAAAGAAAAAATAAGTATAATAATAAATTTAGCTCTCAATATTTTTATTTATTTATTTTATCAATTTGAAAGAGCGACAGGCAAATTAATTTTTTTTAATATTAAGATCAAATTGAGTCCTAGAAATAGTAAGATCCAAATTGGTGATATGTATAAACATAAAAGACTATATTTAATATTACGTTAAATAATGATATCAAACACTAAAATGAAAAGGAGTCAAAGTGTAAATATTTGAAAATACATATAAATGTCAATTATCTTTTTGTTAAAATTAAAAGAAAGAAGAGAAACATTAAAACATGGAGACCGAAACATCGCCCGCTTCCATTGCATCCGCTCCTGGCTGCAAGGCATGTGTCTGAAAGTGAAAGTGAAAGTGAAAGTGGGCGTGGGCCGTTTGTTTTCTTGTATCATTATGCAATGAAAGTGATGATGGCAGCAACTGGCAAAGGCAAATGCAAGTATGGTTGAACAAAATTTGTTTTGACTTGATAAATTAATTTTCTTGACTGAGTTTAAATTAATTTTCCGTTGTAATTTTATAAATTCGATTTAAAATGATTTTAAATTGTAATTTCATAAAATTAATTTGAAAAAAAATTCAAAATTCATGTCGACTTATAAAATAAAATACAGATAACACAAAACTTTTAATAATGTATATTAATTTTCAAATTTAAAACTCGACTCAAAAATTTTTTAAATTAAATTTGAGTTTAAAATATAGTTCATCAACTCAAATAACTCATTTTTTTCCCGAATCGATTTGGCTCTATTGTATCCATCGCTCACTCTTAAAGGCAAGTATGACATAATTATCATCATCAAGTCTTTTCATTGTATGTAGTATAACAGCTACCAAGGTTTGATTCTCCTAGGATCCTGTTATATTGTGGACAAGAAGAAATCAAAGTGAAATATATAAAAGCAGTATTATCAATACCGGATTGACCGGTTCGATCGGTTAAATCGAAAATCAATTACTTGTACAGTCAGATCAGTCTCTAAAAACTAATTTTATAATAAATCGATTGAAAATTAACAAAATCGATGTGAACCAGCCGATTCAACACGATTCTTGGTTTTTGACTTGGAGTGGTATCCAACCTAGGGCTGTAAATGAGACGAGACAGATCGCGAGCTACTCGAGATCGACTCGATCAAGGCTCGATAAATACTCGGATTGAATGGACTCGACTCGACTCGAGCTCGAGCTCGACTCGAGTTCTTAACGAGCCGAAACGAGCTACTCGATACTCGACTCGAAAAGCTCGTGAGCAGCTCGAAAAAATATTATATTATAATTTTAGATTTTTTAAAATTATATTATTAAAAATACACTATTGATAATTATAAAATTTTAAAAATATATTAAAAATTCTATAATACAACTACCTCAAAATTTTAATAACTAATTTTTAAAATTATTGTTATAATTTGAGGTTTCGAGTTCAAATATCATAAATATCAAGGGTTTGAGCATTTAATATCAAGATATTATATTGTACTTACCTCATAAATTAGTTAATTAATGTCTTTGCAATGAACCCTAAACCCTTATCTCTAAACCCTTATCTCTAAACCCTTAACCCGATTATGTGATATGAGTTAAGTTATGCACATGAAGGTAACGTACAAATTATGCAAAATGATGTTATGTGACTCCTAAATAAATCATTTGCATACTTATACATAAACATATCAACATACAAAATAAATATACACAACTTGGTGATTGAGACATGACTTTATCATATCTTAATGATGACTATCGACACCGTCATTGCTTTCAAGCACTGGCTCACCAACATATTATTTCAAGAACTGACTCGACTACATAATGTAAACGGAGATTTGATGTACAAATACAAATAAAACGATGAGATCATATTTTATCATACCCTAGTCAACAGGTTAACATCAATATCATACAATCACCAATTTTTTAATGGAAAATGACGAGTTTGAATCATATAAATAGTCGAGGTAATACATGATAGGATTATGATATATATAATTATAAACAATTAAAGTGTTTTAGAATGGAAGTAGAATTTGGGATAGTTATAAAGTAATATATGTTTAAAATTTTCTTAATCAATTAACAATGCTCACACATCCTATAGATACATTTATTTAAACTCAAAACCTTTATGGAGAACAACATTTCCTTTTGTTACAAAATTATTGATATTTTGAAAAATATACTTGAAATGTGTTATTTATTTTTACCATTTAGTATCCAATGAACTTACCATGACTAGCTGAAAAAAACATTTCCCAGATGCTTTTACATACACAAGCAAGAAAATTTCCTAAATGTCTTCTTTGGCAGTGGTTGCTACTTCCAGGTTGGGAACTCAGTAAAGCTTGGAATATCAATTCCTGCTGCCTATAAAACAGCATTAAGTGCTTGGGCATCATGGGTTGAGAACACGATGAGACCCGATTGCCATTGTAACAGACAGAACTGTGGGGCATGGCAATAGGAATTCCTCCAATGAGTAGTACCAGCAAATTGTCGATTCCGGGACGATATTCACGGTGTTGAATTGGGTACATGACGATGATTTCAGTTATCATTCCGACCGCAATGGAACATATACAGAAATTACCAATGGCAGTCAACACCTGTTTAACAAAATCGGGAACCAAAGCATTTCATGAATGAAACAAATGAAGAACATGCAAAATAATAAAAAATAAGCTGATCTTAGGACCTTTTGAAAATGTCCCTGTTGATTTGTAGAATCAACAAGGTGAACAGCTTTTCCAAAGAACGTATGAACACCGGTGGCGATCACGACAGCTTCAATCTCTCCTTGTTTGCATGTAGAACCCGAGTAAATAATGTCACCGGGGCCTTTTGTTACTGGAAGAGACTCACCAGTTAACACTGACTGGAACATGGAAAAAGAGAATTAACATCAAGAAAACAAAGTTCAACACGAAAAAAAAATGAAACAGTTCAGGTTTCAGAAGAACCTGATCGATTTTCAACGGATCACCGTCGAGGAGTCTAGCATCAGCCGGAATAATGTCACCGAGTTTAACACTGATGATATCACCAGGAACAAGAACAGATGCATCTTCTTCAATCTACTTCCCATCTCGAAACACCTGAAACGATTCATTTATTAGTCAATTTTCAGACACTAGAGCAACATACTCTAGGTTTGCTTATGTTCATCTTCGATTCTCGACACTATTTTTTTCAACAAAGATAGTGTTGATTCATGGAGTTCCATGCAATCTTGCAATGCTCCTCTTTGTTTCTCGACGATCACGTTTCCATTTCCGCCATTGGAGAATAAACTTGTTAGCTTCGCAGCCTCGGATAATGCAGTGTTGAGGGTTTGAAGGAGGTAGAAAAGCATGTTGGGACTGATGTTTACTGAAATGGAAAGCTTCAGTGAATCGAAACAAGAACCTGGGTATGGAGTTGATTTGCAGAAGCTTCGTATGGAAGTGAGATTTGGGTTTAGAGAATTTGTTGAAGAAACGTTGAGAGAGAAAGTTGAAGAGAATAAAAAGAAGATGAATATTGGTATAATGATGGAAGCCATTGAAGGCTTTTGCTGAAGCTAATAGGATCTTTTTCTGTTTTTATAGACCAATGTTAGATCAGATAAAGTAAATTGTTGAGATTGTCAGACTTAGCGTTGAACTTGAGTTGGTTTGATATCTCACATCGTTGGTTGTTAGGGAATAAGAGGTAAAGTGAGTGTATAAAAGTTGATGGGTTTCAATAAAGGAAAATAAAACCCGCTAAGCTCAAAATCGAGCTCAAATCGAGCTTGAATCGAGCTTGAATCGAGCTCAAAATCGAGCTTTAATCGAGCTTGAATCGAGCTCAAAATCGAGCTCAAAATCGAGCTTCAATCGAGTTCGAGTTTCGAGCTTTAGTCGAACTCTTGAATTTTTTTTAGTTCGAGCTTTTTCGAGTTCGAGTCGAGTTTTAATATTATCTTTCAAGTTCGAGTCGAGCTTAAAAATTTTAGGCTCGCGAGTTTTTGAGTCGAGTCGAGCTGAGATTTATAGTTTTCGAGTTCGAGTCGAGTTCAGTAATACTCTAGCTCGACTCGACTCGTTTACACCCTAATCCAACCCCTAAACTGTATTCATAATATATATATTCAAAGTGGGGCACGATTCCATTTGTTTCTTCTTTTATTTTTTTTCCTGGCTGCTTGTCCCATCCCATGTTGTCTCATTACGACAAAATAATAATCATAAATAGTGTTTTGTATTAAAAAGAGTTTAGTTTATATAAGGTAGTGGTGAGGAAATTTGATTAAAAGGCATGGGCAAGGATGTGTTTGATTAAAATATAGTGTTTCTGTAATTTTAATGCTTCAATTAAGTGTGGGTTTTAATAACTAAAAAATTAAATCTGGTCGGGTTAGATTAGGTCGAATTTTTTTAATTGTCTATCGGGCCAGGTCGGATCGGATGAAATTATAATTTTATCGGGTCGAGCCGGGTTACGGGTGGAGTACCCTTTCTTATCGGGTCGGGTCGGGTGGTCCAAAAACCCAACCTGACCATACCCATGCCCAACCCTACTTAAATATTATGTTGTAGTTAATTTAAATCATTTTACTTGATTTTATAGTATTTAACTTATATATGTTATGACTTGTGATATTTTTTTACCTTTTAATATTGTGAACTTAAAAAGAATATTATATATATATATTAATATTACTTTGAATATTATGTAAAATTTTAAAAAAAATATTATTTTATATAAATCAATTAAACCACGATTAAATCAATAAACTAATACCTTTACCGATTTAAGTTCCGGTTTGATTTTAAAAACATTGTATAAAAGGCTCCTTTTACACCAAAGACTATGATTTGTTTTACACTGTTTCAAAGGCATTTCAGATGTCTTTTCAGAATGAAAGAGATAGAGTTGGTTTAAGATTAGATGATTGAGACATTTGTATGAATGGATACAACTCTACAGGGTTCACAATTCCATGCCCCAATATGTGGTGCTATTAGCTTTTCCAGCATTTTAGCACTTGTAGAGGACGACGAAATACACGCCCCCTACCATCAGAAACAACACTTGATAGTGGGTGGGGAAGGTGCCACACTACACACCCAATAAGCACCACAAGTAGGGTAAGTAATGGCAAATAGCCCGGACTAAAATCATAACTTTAGAGCCGACATTATTACAAATTTATAAACTTTAAAATAATAATAATAACCCAACTCATTAAACAATTTTAGCAGTAAAATAAAGGGAGTGTTGTTAGGGGTGTTCAAAATTCGGTTTTAACCAAATTAATCGATCGAACCGAATTAGTTCGGTTAATTCGGTCAGCCACTGAATTAATTCGGTCGGGAAACGGTTAAGGATTTTTTTGAAATTCGGTTAACGGTTAATTCGGTTCGAAATCGGTTAATTAACCGAATTAACCTTTAAATATAATTATATTAAGAGGCTCAATCCATTTAAAATCCATTTAAAACTCAAATCAATATTAATTAATTAAAATAATATCAAAACTAAATGCAAAATGTTTGAATCAAATTAATTAGATATTATTTATAATTAGATATTATTTAAATTAATTGTAAATTGTTTTTTTAATTAAAAAAATTTTAAATTCTAAAATTCTAAAAAAAATCGGTTAATTCGAAAATTAACCGAATTAACCGAAATTTATTCGGTTCGGTTAATATTTTCGAAAAAAAGTTCGGTTCGGTTAACGGTTAAAGAAACAAAAAAGTTCGGTTAATTCGAAAATGGTAGTTCGGTCGGTTCGGCCACCGAATTAACCGAATGAACATCCCTAAGTGTTGTTATTTTTAAATATTTCAAATTCGAGTAACTGTATTTATAGAGTGTGCACATTGTTAATGTCTTAAAAAATTCTAAACAAGTATTATATTGTATTCACTATAGACTATTGAAAATAATAATAATAGTAATAACAATAATAATAATAATAATAAACTTAAAGAATAATTAAAAATATTAAAATATAGAACCAAAACAAGGAGGATAATAGCAAGTAGACCAAAACATGCTATTGATGAAAATAATCTTTTATTTAGAATAATATTAATTTATTTAAGTACTATTATACCTCCTCTAGATCTATCTAGAAGTAATATGCTCATTGCCATTTCCCCCCTAAGTTGAGTGTTGAGGACTGTAGAGTTCTTCAAAGCCTTTAAAATTCCACTTCTTCTAGAGTTCTATATCTTTTTAAGTTCCTTGAAGTCTTTAGAATTCTATGTATTCCAAATAATTAACAACCCTTAATATGATTATTAGTAAACATATGTGATATGTGAACGTCAAATATGCTATATGACAATTGTACGCACAATTTTTTATCCTGGGAATAAAAAATGGTGTGTACAACTTGGGCAAATCCGCTATAGATGCATTCGACTTCCTCCATGGATGAGGGTTTTTCTACTAACGAGATAACTTCTATGATTGAGGCTCTAAGTTTTGTGTTCAACTTTCTTCTTGGCTGAGGATTCACCTACTAACGAGGTACCCTCCATGATTAAGGCTCTAGGTTGCATTTGACTTCCTCTATGGTTGAGGGTTCGTCTACTAATATGGTGTTCTTCATGATTGAGGCTCAGGGTTATGTTTAGCTTCCTCTATGATTAAGGGTTCTCTTACTAACAGGGTATCTTCTATGATTGAGGCTTAGGGTTGTGTTTAGCTTCCTCCATGGCTGAGGGTTCGTCTACTAGAAAGGTATCCTCTATAACTGAGGCTCAAGGTTGTATTCAACTTTCTTTATGGTCGAGGGTTTGTTTAATAATGGGTGTCCTCCAAATTGAGGCTCGGGGTTGCGTTTGACTTCCTCTATAGTTGAGAATTAATCTCTAGCAGAGTGTCATCCATGACTGAGGCTCAAAATTTTCCTACAATTTTAATTAAATTATCTTGACAAGAAAAGTATATTCAAGATAGAAGAACAAGTATGGATTAACTTGTAGGGAATACCTAAATCAATTATTCAAATAGAACGAATGAACTGAAAGATGGAAGAAGCGTCGAAATCATACCTGATTGTTGAAAGAAATCCAAAGTAAATACTCATCAAGTTACAAAAAACTTCTTTTGAAATTTCAAAGTGAATATGTTGAACCAAAATACATGATGGATATGATTTGCTCATGAGATGACAAGATTTATCTTCAAAAAGACACAAATGTCGACAAGCTACCATATTGGTACTATGAACAATTTTAAAAGGAGATGATCAATAGAGGAAGATCAAGGTCTCCCTTTTAAGGATAAAAAAAGATTGACCAACAGTTGAACATACATTTATACATCACGTGTATCGACCATCCATTATTTCATTAACACCAACAAGAAAGTCTTTGTTTCCTCAGCTTCGAGGGCATCCCTAAAGTCTCTTTTGAGAAATCATTTTCCTAGTCTTCCTTAAGATTGTTTCCTTAGAAACCAACTTTATCTTTCTTAAGACTGTTTCCCTAGAAACCAACCTAGTATTCCTTAAGACCATTTCCCTAAAAACTAATCTAGTCTTTCTTAAGATTTTCTTCCTAGAAACCAATATAATCTTCCTTAAAACTATTTTCCTAAAACCAACATAATCTTTCTTAAGACATTTTCTCTAGAAATCAAGTTAGTCTTTCTTAAAACCATTTCCCTAGAAACCAACCTCATCTCCTTAAGACTCATTGCTCTAGAAACAAGTTTCTTATTTTAAAATTGTTTCCTTAGAAGTTATAACTTTGTCTTAAAGACTTTTTTCATCTTCCATGAGGATATTTTTAGAACCTTTCCTTTCTTAAGGGAAATCTTCGTAATATTTTATTTTCTTAAAGACCCTTTTCTCTGTTTACGAGGACTTCCCTTAAGAGATAAATGAACAACACTCATATTCATTTAAACATCCGTAGATTTATAAAATAGATGCATATCATCA